AATTAAGAGGTAATAGTGTAACACGTGACTGTAAGGCTGCACGACATGCAAGGTGAGACCTGGCTCTATTACCTGTCTCGCTCACCACACGCACACTATACATAATTAAACTACACACACTCAAATTTCCTGCAATATAATAATCTCGTATAAAAATTAAATATGATGTCACGCAACATTTATTATTGTTATCATAAGCACTAATACATTTAGAACTACATAGAACGTTGGTCTGAAACACAAACGTACAAGTACACATGTAATCATAAACACATGTAACCTACGTGTGTAGGTTACGCACATACAAAAAAAAAAAAAAAAAAAAAAAAAAAAAAAAAAAAAAAAAATGTGGGCTTCGCTTACATGTTAGGTAAGAAAACACGCACGGACGATGTAAACACGCACGCAGACATGAATCAACCTAACTACAGACACGGCTACGGAGGACTTATCTTAGCGACTCTTCGCCTCTCAAAATGTGGCTGGTGGTTCAAGTTCAAGTATGTTTATTGAGATAACCAAGAAATATATATCAAAGGGATAGAGTAGCTTAGGCTATTTCTACCCCCCTTAACAGCCGGGGCTGGTGGTGACGATTTCTTACGTTTATTGTGGATGGTCGGACGTCGGCACCGCTGAACTCTATAAACAGAACCCCCTTAAATTAAGTTGTTGCAAGTGACGTCACGCCGCCAAGAGTTGTAAACAAACATTGCGAGCACCACGTGTTGCTTGTAAACATTTTGAGCACCTCGCGCCACATGTACGTAAATATTACAAACGGTGGAAGTCAAATGATACCAATTTTTGTTATCACGTCAGGCGTCACATATGACTAATGAACTGAATTGGCGGCTCTACCGTTCAGAATGACAATTGTATCAATCACAACAGGACTGAACTCTGCACAGCATCTTAGTAAGGTTGCTCAAGAAAGCTATAAAATGAACTGAAGACATACCGAGGTAAACTATATTTATGAGAAAAAATATGAAATTTAATCGCCATCTGTATTAGGAAGCCTCCGCTGGGAGTGTTTGTTTACTAAACAATACATTACTTCTCAGTTTCCTCCAAAATTGTGCTGTTATACTATAATTTAAAGTTTATAATTGAATTACATATTATTGTACATAAGGCAACATATTAAATGAACGCATTTAAAGAAAATTTGTCACTTTAGTTAATAAAAGTGAGCGGTCGTGTTTCTCCATTTTAACCAATTATTTTTGTTATTAACACACCATTAACAACTGCATGTATTACTAGATGCGTTAAAACACAAATGCGCCCAGAATTTTTTTTTTTATTCTTCCAATCTGCAGGTTCTTTCCACGTAACCTGTCCTCAGGCTAAACTCGTCCAAGCGGCGGTCAACCACAAGGAAGTCGTTGGATTGTTTGAAGAATACGTTAGACAAATACGTTAAAGTACAGCTGGAAAAGATCAAGGCAAATGAGGGGGGGGAGGACCTTCAACAAGCCGTCGGCTTCCTGTCCTCGAAAGCCACTATCACTAGTGGCCTCGACAAGTAAACTCGGGTAAATACACAGTATTTGCATCAGCCAAATGTCCTCCTCCTCCCCCCCCAATCCCCCACCTCAAACATGGGTGGTTCAGAAGGTAAGTGACTCTTTGTGAGCAGCCTGAGGCCCTTCCATTCCAACAGCTCATCTTAAAAGCCTTACCCTACTAGTTCCCCAGAAACACGACCCGCCGATTGATTGATCAAGATTAAGCCACCCAAGAGGTGGCACGGGCATGAACAGCCCGTAAACGATCCGTCAATCGCTTGCAACTGATTACTGATGGGTGAACAGGGGCGAGCAGTCAAGGATTGGTGCCCAGTCAACAGTTTCCGTCCACAGCTCTAGCCCAGACGAAATCACGTCAGTGCAGTTTCTGTTCTGTTTCTTATTTAGCTTAGGCTTCAGGTAAGCCTACCAGCCAAGCAAACCTCTTCAAGATGTATTTGTAATTATGAAACTACAATTTTGTAAAACCTGCATATGTTGAAGATTTGGTTTAACGATTATTTGGTGTAGCCTACTTGATACGTTTTTTCAGCTCGGTTTCTTTGTTTGATAATTAAACGTGCTCTAAAAGGCTCAAATGAAAAACGAGTAGTCTGGGTGTTTATGAAAATGACAGACGACTAAGGAGTGCATGAAAATAATAGACGACTAAGAGTGCATGAAAATGACAATAGTATGCATCTAATGTGACTGACTTGTAAAGTGTTGAAAAAATGAAATACTGAACTGTGGATCGGATTAAAAACACTGTTCATGATCTAGCATTAACTAGGTGGATGTTAAATTTTCTAATTTTGTTTACTGCAGCGAACAATACTGTAACCATCTTGCCATTTCTGATATATAATTGACAATGTTCAAATTTTTGGGCCCCATGCAAAGGCAAAAATTTAACACTCAAACGTTCATAAGACAAATTCTAAGAAAATATTTATAACATTAACATTGCTCTAGTTAGGTAGACTTATAACCCTTACCATATTAACATAATAATTTCATGTCGTAAAATATTAACATTAAACATTCTTGAAATAACAATGATCAAATTAATAGGCTCATGTTATCGTGATATGCGGCGAGTCAGTCACACAGTTACTAATCATGCTCGCACACCCATCCAACTGGGTGACAGCTTTACAGTCATGTGCAGCATTACTTAACGTAAGCAAACTTTAGATACTTGGCTGAGATTTCTAGTAGTACTTCATTTTGAATGAAGTATTTACACATTTATTAGGCACCGTTAACACTAGTTATCTCTGAATTCTGCCATTGTTTCACATTCTGCCAAGAGATTTTACAGTTAATGAAGTGTACAAAAGCGGGTGGTGCAGACTTTCACAGGTACTTGTAACAGCTCCCAAGCCTAGCAGTATTAACGTCTAGAAGTCTGCTAACCAACCAGGCTCCTGATCTCCGTATGAGCTACAAAAGCCGAGAGAACTAAAGCTCATAACACTAGAAAATACAGTAGAGGGGAAGGAGACGACATGAGCACACACCAAACTGCTTAAAATTCTAAGTAGGCATTGACAAATAATAATTAGCATGAAGAGAGGGCACGAGTGGGAACTAGTAACTTTGGCAGATCATAAGTTAGGTATATGTATAGTGTGACGATAATCTCTTTCAAGAGAGATAGAGCCTGCTCTTCCCTACAAAGTACGTAAAAACAAAAGATAATATAGAAGATACGTCCAGCAAGTATCGCCAAACGTTTTGCCCAGAGAGCAAAGCGTACCCAGCACACAGTGACACCTGCTACCTACCGCCACCGTAAACCGGCAAACTGCTTGTCCTTTGCCTGCCTGTCGCTGATTGGCTGGTGTCCCGTCGCTCCTGCCCTCCGCCACAAGTTGATGTCTGGGCTGCAGTGGCCCAGTATTGTCAGAATATCTCAGTGCTCCTTGCAGTTGACATCTCTCGCTGGTAGACTAAGCCTTGGCTTTCGTGTACTAAGGGAGGTGGCAGCTCGAAGCCAATATTCCAGCTCCATTCATATTTATTTTGCTATCACTGTAACTCACTTGTCTTAACGTAACTTTTCATTTGCCAGTGATTATTCATATTATTTTGTTTGTTGACTTGTCTTTTATATTTTATATGCTTAACTTTATTCATGTCTTGTTTTTCTAACAATTAAAATTTCATTGTTAAATTTACTTGTGTTTTGTGTGTCTTCCCATTACCTTACCACAGACGAAAGTTCCAGCTTTTCTCTTTTTTTTTTTTCTCTAATGTGACGAGGCCCTGCCCCTAGCTTTTGAAACAGCCGAACACCAACGCTTTACCGTCACAATTGAAAGAAACATGACTATTGTACTATGTAGTGTAGTTGAGGCTAACTCCATACACAGCTCTAGGAGTGGGTAGCTAGGCTATGTTAATGAAGAAGCAAAGAGAATCGGATAAATTACAACTGAATAGGAGGCAACTGAAAGTCGGAACAATGTGCCAACTTGTGTCTTGCCATAGTTAGTTCTCTCACCAACACCTTGCCATGACCAGTTGTATCAGCAGCAGCTTGTCATGGCCAGCTCCGCGTCACCTGTATCTTGTCATAGCCAGCTGAATATTACAAGTGATTTGCCATTACCAGTTATCCATCACGAGTATCTTGCTATGGCTAGTTGTGCATCGCCAATCTTGCCATGACCAGCTGTGCGTCACCCCAGTCTTGCCATGACCAGCTGTGCGTCACCACAGTCTTGCCATGACCAGCTGTGCGTCACCAGTGGTGGTGCCAACACCTTAGACAGTTCCCCGGCTTAAACATCAAACCTATCTAGTGTGATGACAGAAGCGCAACTCTGCCTGAGTGTTCTATACTTGTCACACTGACGCAGTGAGTGACGGAGGCAGTGTGACAGGCTGCAGGTCGCTACCAATCCTCACACTGACGCAGTGAGTGACGGAGGCATTGTGACAAGCTGCAGGTCGCTACCAATCCTCACACTGACGCAGTGAGTGACGGAGGCAGTGTGACAGGCTGCAGGTCGCTACCAATCCTCACACTGACGCAGTGAGTGACGGAGGCAGTGTGACAGGCTGCAGGTCGCTACCAATCCTCACACTGACGCAGTGAGTGACGGAGGCATTGTGACAGGCTGCAGGTCGCTACAAATCCTCACACTGACGCAGTGAGTGACGGAAGCAGTGTGACAGGCTACCAACCTCACACTTGCTGTTTATGAAGCGCCTATCACCTGCTCTCAACAAAAGGCTACTGGAGACTAGACTTGCTATGTTCCTGGCATTGTATTCTGAACATACAACGTGTATCACTTTCCACACACATTTAATTCACCAAATTACATAATAAACCGCCATTATACAGAGCAAATAGAAGAGGTTTGTATGTAAAGTTGATGAATTTCGTGCTGGGAAAGCGATAAATGTTACACATTGACAAAAATTTATAGCATCACACGGAATTGGTGCCCCAAAACATCTCAAGTTATTTACCTGTATAATTCACGTTGCTTGCCGCCTCCTGCGTGACACGCTGTGCTGTGACCAATATTACGCTTCCTTTACTAACACTACACTCAACAAGTAAAGCCAAAAATCACTAGAAACAACAGAGCGACTTATATATATCCCGGAGGAGCGCACGCACTCACACCACTCTCACCCACAGTCACAGCGACACTGATGGGCCGCTGCTGTTGCTGCTGCTCCCTTTGTCGGTCTCCGCCGCCTCATGCGGTGATCAATTACCACATTTATCTACCAATTTATTTTGTTACTATGACCTTAGAGACCTTCTCTATGAATTACAATCTTTTCACTAGATATTCCTTTATTTCTTATATAAAGGAAATCATGAAACTCGGCGTCAAAACATGCAAAAACTCAAATGTTATGTCAACCTATATGATAATTGAATGAATACACATGTTTAGTTATCTCAAATATTTATGTCAAGCAAAAGCTGCTTCGCTAGTATATATACATATATATGTATATGAGAGTAAGGCGTGTAAAGTAAGCCTAAGAATAGTATAAGAGTCATCGCCGTTGTAAGCCACGGAGGCATTCCCAGCGGGTCGGGACGAATGCTTCCAGGCGCTTGGGGCTCGCTCCTCTAGCACCAATATTTTCTACTCGGCAACTGCCTCTCCATCCCATCTTCCGCCTGTCCATCCCTTCTTCAGCCTCTCCATCCCATCTTCTGTATCTCCATCCCATCTTCCGCCTGTCCATCCCTTCTTCAGCCTCTCCATCCCATCTTCTGTATCTCCATCCCATCTTCCGCATCTCCATCCCATTTTCCACCTCTCCTTTCTACACAACTTTCACAACGTTTCATTTATTTATCTAAATTTAATGTGCATACTTTTCAAGAAAGTCGGCTCTGTGATCGCTCCGTCTGCAACATTGTGTTCATTGTGTAAAGTGTTTTAGTTAATAAATGGGGTGTAGGGCATGTTAGTGTAAGGTGTTAGTGTAGTAGGGTGTCTTGTGTGTTAGTGTAGTAGGGTGTCTTGTGTGTTAGTGTAGTAGGGTGTCCTGTGTGTTAGTGTAGTAGGGTGTCTTGTGTGTTAGTGTAGTAGGGTGTCTTGTGTGTTAGTGTAGTAGGGTGTCTTGTGTGTTAGTGTAGTAGGGTGTCTTGTGTGTTAGTGTAGTAGGGTGTCCTGTGTGTTAGTGTAGTAGGGTGTCCTGTGTGTTAGTGTAGTAGGGTGTCTTGTGTGTTAGTGTAGTAGGGTGTCTTGTGTGTTAGTGTAGTAGGGTGTCTTGTGTGTTAGTGTAGTAGGGTGTCTTGTGTGTTAGTGTAGTAGGGTGTCTTGTGTGTTAGTGTAGTAGGGTGTCTTGTGTGTTAGTGTAGTAGGGTGTCTTGTGTGTTAGTGTAGTAGGGTGTCTTGTGTGTTAGTGTAGTAGGGTGTCCTGTGTGTTAGTGTAGTAGGGTGTCCTGTGTGTTAGTGTAGTAGGGTGTCTTGTGTGTTAGTGTAGTAGGGTGTCTTGTGTGTTAGTGTAGTAGGGTGTCTTGTGTGTTAGTGTAGTAGGGTGTCTTGTGTGTTAGTGTAGTAGGGTGTCTTGTGTGTTAGTGTAGTAGGGTGTCCTGTGTGTTAGTGTAGTAGGGTGTCTTGTGTGTTAGTGTAGTAGGGTGTATCTATAAGTCAGCTGTAAAGATGAGGAGTGTGAAATATATCTTCCTGTATTAATTATTATTTTTTAACTCTTTATGTATTGCAATATTCATAATGCTATTTTACTTGTGGCAAATAAAATTAACAGGAATTGTCGAGATTGGATCTGTATAATATGTAATAGAGTTGTAGTAGGGTTGGTAGATCTGCCCTTTTACCTTTCAATAGTACAGTAGTTGGAAACAATGTTTAGTAAGGTTAATGATTCTTTTCTTTTTTACTTCAGTTGGTACATGTGTGGAGCTCAAGTTAGTCTAGTCATTCCTAAAAATTGGACTTGCTTTTCATAAGACATTATTGTCTTTCAATATGAAATACAACCAAAAGCATTTAAATACTATTCAAATGCCAATAGAAGAGTAGAAAGACAAGGCTGTCTATTATATAATAAAGAAGTAACATTCATCAAGCAGGGGTAACTAGTGACAAATGTTGTAAAGGAACTGTTGGGAGGCATAGTAATTACCGTGCCAGAATTAGACTGGAATATCGATGGTCATGGTAGGCAATTACAAGTAGTAAATTTCCCAGATGTAAGTACATACTCCAATTGTGAACTCTGAAAAATAGTTAGGATACCCTTTTCAGCATTATATTAGTGAGTGTTTAGTTATCAATGCCTTTTAGACTGAATACATGAGATACCCCGAGTTTTGTAACTACATGTATTTAATTTACTCACAGATATTAGAAGATATCCTCATAGTTTATCGAAAAGTTTGCCAGTGCAGGCTAGTAGACTCGACTTGCATCCCATGTATGACAATCATCCTGTGAGATGGAGATTCAGTATTAGGTGAACATAGTTATTCCTTAACCTATACTCTGTAACCCCTCATACAGGCAAGGGTAACAGAATAATGCTGTACAGTATACTGTAGTTAAGCTTGTTTAAAGAAAATGCTAATTAGTACAATAGTTTATTATTGGATAAACCTATTCATTCCTCTCCATTCCGTAAATAAGGGTGAATACCCCTGTATAACTGAGTAGTAATCTGTGAAAGGATTGACTTTAAGAGCAGGATGCACATCTAAATAATAAATTAGTTTTTCATCAGTCAGTTCATCGGAGTCTATTCCAGTAACCCAGCAAAACTTCATTTTTTGCAATTGCTAAAAATAAGATACAACAATATTGGAGCTGAATGTAAAAAAAAATGACATATATAGAGATATGGTGTCTATTAACAAAAGCAATTTAAACTGTTATCATCAATTGTAAGTCAGTCAAGGGTGCATTGACACTTGTGAACTCCCAGTTTACCTGCAGGGAAGATAGACCTACAGTACCAAGAACTGGTTCACCATTTTCTCAATTTTTTGTATATAAATCCTAAGTGATATTAGTACAGTATTTATAGCTGATTGTATGTTTTGTATTTTTGTATTAACGTGTTTTTTATGAATAACAGCTTCTTCCTTTAATATTGTACTGTATTTAAAAAATGTTCACTGACTGCCAGATAGAATTCAAACTATCATATTAGAAAATACTGTACCAGTACAAGAGTTTTTGGATTGGAGTTTAAGCATTTTGTATTTTATGTTTTCATTATCCAGGGCTGTGGTTTTGGGCTTGTCATGGCAGCGAGTCTGGAACAAGAAATTATAGGATTTCATGTTATTTGTAGTTGGAGTTAGTGGAGGGAAACATTAACTTTATGTTATAGTATTGGGTCATTATATATTTATACTGTACTTAATACGGCTAGAAATTTTTTAGTTAGCTCCACAGCTATTTTGGAGAATCTGTGATGAACAGAACACACACTCAAAATTATTGATGATAGTGAAGCTAGTGCTAATTTTCCTGCAAGTTCAACATTTTTGGGCTAAACTTTGTAATTTTGGGTGCACCGAAGATAGCATGTTCTCGTTATTGCACCATGGCTCGAGATGCTGTTAGCTGTGATCTTGTTTGGAGATCTATTAATTCTCTTACCCTCAACTTATCCTGGTGCTACTTAGTGACATATATACTGATAAATGGTTACTATAAATACTATCTTTTTTAAGGATGGGTTGAAATATTGAACTTTCTTCTTTGGTGAACAATTGGTATTATATTATAAACCATATTTTTTAGCTGCATTTGGGAATAGTTGAGTATTTTTTTATTTAAATATATAGTACAAGAGCTTTTACATTTCTTGTAAAGCCACTAGCATACATAGCATTTTGGGCAGGTCCTTAATCTTAATCTTAATTTTCCCTAGCATACGACCAGCCAAATCATTTAACCATCAAGTACCCATTCACTGCTGGGTGAAGAGGTATGCAGTTAAGGATTGGTGCCCAGTCAACCCTCTCCGGCCATGATACGAACCCAGGCCAAATCGCTCGCTAAGTGCAGGGCGAGTGTATTACCTCTGTGCCACGGGGAGTGCCATATAATCCAATGAATAACTTAAGGCAATTAAAGATATTAATGACCAATCTCTCTTAACTCTCCATTTTAACTGATATTAATCTGATTAACTGTTGGATTATGTTATGAATGTGTACCAAAAAAAATGTACGAAAAAAGTTAAAACCATGTGACTGCATTATCAATTTTTATGTATCAATCATCATTTCTGTGTATGGAAAGTGCTTCTGTAAACAACTTGTGTAATGTGCTCCTAATTATATACTGTACTATAATGTGAAACATATAGTGCTTTCACTCCAGCAGTAATATAATTGTATATTGGAGGATCAAGAATGGAAACAAAATAAACTTTTAAAACAATGCATATTGATAAAATGTTTATTCGAGACATTATAATCCTGTACAGACTTGTTCACGCATTCTGTATGAAAACCCTTAGCGAGAGTACTGGTTAGAAGTAGGTAGGAATGGAAAAAGACTTGTCTTATATATTTGGTTAACATACACTGCCCATAAACTCAGTATCATCTGCCTTAAAAATTGACTAGTCTTGAACACTACCAGATATTGGGTAAGTCACTAGTTTCAGAGATTTCCACAAGTGATTTTCTCCCTTTGTTTCAGAAACAGTATTTAAAAATTTTAAGTATTGGCTTTATAGGAAACTGGTTCTTATTGGAAGTCCCAGAAACTGGTGCTTTACAATAAGTCCCAGATGAAGGCAGAAAATGTTTAGGTTACAACCACACCGCTGTAGTTCACTAGCACTACATCTCACTTTGTTTCATTTATTGTAGGAAAACGAATGATTTGTATAAAAGTCTCTTCAAAAACATCTACTGGGTAACGTGCTATACATAATCGAGTGAGCGGGTACAACAAAGTTATCTGGTATTACACACACTCCAAGACGTCACATTCCATAAAGTCATCACCGAATTCCCAAAGAGGTGGTTCGGAAGTTCATGAAAAAGCAATGAGAAATAATTTGTTCGGAAATGCAAGTTTGGACGTTTTCCTTAGCAGCACATGCCAATCAGAACACAGTACAGTACACAGTAAAGTTCTCAGTTGTGATTGGCTAGCAGCTGCTTAGTAAAGTTCTCTCTTACGTTTTCGAGTTATACAGTAACTTGCTTTTTCCTGTAAGTACGAACACTATGCAAATCTTGTTGAAGCAATATGGCCATAATTTAATTTTCTGAAAAACCACAGAACAGTATTTTTAAAAGACAAGATCTTTCATTTGATAATAATTTATGTGCATGCCCCTAACAAATCATGAATAATTTTGTTTTAAACCTTCCATTTTAATATTATCACCTACAGTTAACAATGAGTGAACAGCTTACTGAAAAATACCTCATCATAATTTAGGAATGGCTGATTGGTACTTACAAGAGGGAATAGCCAGAAACATCAAAAAGTCTCAATTTGGCATGTTAGGTTTATACAGTATACTGTACTGACAGACAAATCATTCATGCCATTAACTGTTTCATATTTAAATAAAACATTGACACCCCACACGGCAGTTTCAGTGTACAACTGTCAGCCCATACACAGCATAAAGGCTGTGTTGTAGCTACATTAAGTCTTGTTTCCAAAATGCATTCTTTTGCTTCATTATGCTGCCTGAAACATTACATCACTTTGGTTAATTTATTAAAAAAAAAAGTTGCAAAATTTATTCTAAACTCTTGGCAACAGGCTGTAATGACAAAGTGCATTATGTGAACAAGCCTTTAGAGAACCAGTCATAGATCCATGGCATTTTTTCATGATCTATGCCACAATTTTGACGAGGTGATGAAAATTGAGCTTCAGTCAGTGATCCCAGATGGCTCAATTTTCCTATTTAAAAAGGAATTTAAGGTAAAAAAATGAACCTTGTGGCATAATCACTATAAGCTCAAAATCCTAAATCTCGTCATATTTCAATGACAGGCAAAGAGAAAAACTGAAGAGAATGAAGGCACACACGATGATACAAAGAACACACAACAGCTCTTTGTATTCTTCTAGAGACAAGGCCTGCACTTGGGGGGGTGGGGGGGGAGGAGGCTCTCTGGTTTTAAAAGGTTTAACTGGAGGGGGTGGGGGGGGAACTTTAAGAGTGGGAGTGATTTTATTTGTCTCAGATTAAATGAGAAATGATGAGTAAAACCCCATTAAATCTCACCCACCACTCTTTAGGATATTTGTTAATACCAATAACTATGTTGGTTAACTGATAAACTGATTAAATGGTATCAAAGTCATGTGAAACTGATCATGCACTAGAGTTAAGTGGCTATAAATTTCCTCTCAAATGAGAATTCTTGACAACCTCTTATGATTATAAAACATGCTTTTACTACACTTTGGTTCAATGTAAAAGTTCTGAGGTGAAAAGTCTAACTTTGATGAATGCATGACTAGTGTATTTATTTAAGGGGTATTCAAGAATTCCCTCTCAAGATACTATTCACATGTACATATTTTTCAAATTGAAAATTGGGCTGCAGGCCAACAACATGCGGCTGCGGGCTGGACAGTGTTTGGACCGCATGGGTACTGCGGTGAGGATGTAGTGATGGTTTTGCGGTTACGGTATCGATAGGCCATTACCCGCATGTTACGTGTCTACTGAGGGAAAGTTCAGAAAAGAAGTTCTTGATCAAACAGACAGTTCACTGAAAATTCATAGAATTATATGTGATACTCTGTGATTATTTGAACTTTCCACCTGATCAAAATAATTTTTTCAAACACCCTAAAACTGTAAACTTTAAAAGAACACCATCAATTTTATGATGGCAATAACACATCAAATTTAATAAATATTTAAAATTCAGATCAATCATAGATTATTATAGTTCACATATATATATTCTTATATATGCATATATTTATATATATATCTCGAATTGTAACTGAGCTTTTCTTTTAACAGGCTTTAATGTGAAGTTTCTATACAATAAGTAGATAATGAAACATTAAGCATTTATGAAAGTGGTAGAGATTTAGGGGGAATATATATATAGTAGTTCTCTGTGCATTTCAGCTGAAGAATATACAATATGGAACACTTTACATTGGCATTTTGGGCATTATCAGACTCAATGATGAGATGAGATGAAGGCGAAAATTCTTTGACATTCAACACTCCATAAGTGACAGCCAAATGGGTCTGAGAATCAGTTTGTTTTAGTTATGCAGATATTAATAATACAGTACTTAACACATTTGGTAGAATATCAAAGTCTGGCATTAATTTAGTTGATTAATTCAATAATTTTTATTTTTATATTTTTATACAATGGTTCGCATAAACTAACAATATGAACCATTGAACTTAACTTTAATTGCCTGGACTGTGTCACTAGCCTCCAATATACAGTACTTTCATAAACCCTCAAACATACACATTATACATATTTTGATGCCCTTGATTCCATATAAAAATTAGTGACTACTGAAAGACTGGGCATTCTACCTTATGTGACATTTGGCTGCCAAATTAACATTGTGAACACTGGGACCAAGATATAAAGCAAGGTAACAAAATTCACAACCAGAATGTAAACCAAGTAATTTGACAATGGCACGTACTGAGAATAAAAGCAAAATTTAACATGCACGTACCGAAAGTTAACATGTTGGACCTCAATTTCTCAACAGATTATGAGTGAATGGTAATGTAAACACTGGCACTGGTTTCATTAGTAAACATTTCAACTCTTGGTTCTTGGTAGCAGGATGGAATACTAGTTTATACAAAAAAGCACTTGTGGATTTTCAGTACAAGGATAGTTGGAACCAACACAGACATTTTTCAATTAAAAATCTGAATACCATTTTGGTTCCCTTGTTTTAATATCATCTGCATAATTGTATTTTATATCTTTCAAGTTTTATACAATTTATAAAAATTAATCAACATCATATCTAAATCACTAATGATGTACCTATGTCACTGTTAAACCAGATTGATAGAATGTTTTAGAAAATTTTACATAACAATTTTGAAGGCTAAGTCTAGATCTACGAAGTAAACTAACCGATCATAGACCGGTATATGCAAAATACCCCATGGCCCTTGTAATCTTAGGTTACATAGCAACCTCAAGATTACATAGCAACCCTTAACATTTCTCCTCAAGGGATTTGAACCTCCGTGGGTGCCCAAGATACCTCAATACTGTTCCTAGGGTGCTATATTGGCCCTCTCCTGCACTGAGGGCCAATTCACATAAGGCAGGACTTTTCATACAAAAGGTCAAAATGGTAAGATCATAAGGATCTATGCTAACTGATAACAATCCCTAACCAAGCTCATCTTCCCATTATAAACATAATTGTCCTGCAGTTCATCTTAGTAATTATCTCTGACTATCAAGATTTTTCCAAAAGAAAGGAAGGCATATATGGGCAACAGGTATCCCATTATGATGAAAACAGCTCATGATTTCTTACACAATATTTTGTATAATGTTATTGGTACTGGAGGCAGTAAATTGTTACTGCCTTCTTGAAATTCTGAATAAATCCAATAAATTTGTTATTTTTAAATAATTTCCTCATAAATTATCTGTTCGATTACCAGGTATTAATACAAAATTGGCCATTTAATTAATTCCCCATTTTTAACTACAGTTTTAGTGGAAGTCTTATATAATAAAATTTAGAGAATAATATAAAGGTAAATAGATGTACTTTTAATAATTTTGATGATGAATTGGTGTAAGATGAGGCAGGAGAGCAGGGAGAGGGGGATCACCTTGGCCATGCTCGTCCCCCCCTCCACACTGTTGGACACGCCTTCCATGTGGACTCAAGATACAAAAAGTGATGCTGTCCACTGAAATTTAAAACTAATGAGTATAACTAAGATCCATACTAAGGAAACATACTTGAAGCAACCAACAATCTAACTTTGTACTAGCTACCAAAACTCTACTCAATTCTCATATTATTCTCACAATCATGTTACAAGATGGTGTGAATTAATGCATGAGTAAATGTCTTGTAATTATAAGCCCAGAGTCTGATCAAACTGGCTGATTCAAGTTCATTTCTGAAGTATTGAGGTAAGCCTGCATGGCTAGGAATGTGAAAGGACAGCAGCAAGAGATGCCAACATAGGCCTAGTCCATCCTCCCATACACGAAGCTGCTCATCAGCACAAAAATCTCCAACTTTGGCAGGCAAATGGTTTTACTTATCGCATGAGAAGAGACCCAAAGATCCTCAGTCTCCATAGCGAATTGTAAATACTACAGACTAGTTGTCAAAAACCAGAAGAAAAGGTAACAAAGTCGTACTCAGACTACACCTAACAAACAATGATCAAGAACCGCATTCAGGAGACACCCTCAACTTAGCTAATATAGTAACAATGAAATGCTAACAACTGCTGCACTTCAAATATGATACAGTTTTGTTTACACACACAATGTTTGCACTCCCACTTAATAAATGGATACCATTTTTATGATTAGAGCTGCATGTGTTAGTCAAATATGAGTTTAATAAAGATGTGGAAATGATAAGATGATGTTGAGTGCATCAGCTGATAGTATATCATGAAGGTATTGTCTGATTTAAGAGCATTTCCTGAATACAGGCCTAAACTGACAGATAAATGGGAATGACATATCTCATTCTGCTCCTTTTTGATATTCATACAACTCTCATACAGGAGAGCTACAATAGTGGTGACATTAAAATATCACAGATTTGATAGAACATTTGTTGTATGTTTTAAATAAAGCACTTGTAGGGGATATGGTACAAAACAAACATGAAGAAAAGCCACAAATACACTCGTGGCCATGGTTGACTCCCCTGCCTAGGTCCAGTGCTCCACTCTATTCCCAGGCACTGCTAGTCAGGGCGGTGCCGCCCCCATCACCACCTTAGGGGGATGGGGGCCCACATCGCCCTGTGGGATCCACTAGCACCAATCATCCTCATCACTGTCACTATGGCGCACCCCTGGAGCCGTCCTTCTGGGTGCCCCGGCACCTGCTGCACCTACTGGGGCAGGTAGTCGTGGCACTGCACGGTCCCGCCCTGGTTTGTACCCGTTAGGCACTGCTGGTGAGGGCAACTGACGAGTGCCCCGCCCAATGGCTACTGCCTGTTCAAAACTTAGTGGCTCCTCTGGCCGCCGCTCATATGGGTATTGGTCTCTGATTGGTGCCATGGGCGGGCGGCGAAGCGCACCTGGTGGTAAAATTTTTCCAGGAGGGGGCACACGAGGTCGAGCACTCCCTTCTGTAATGGGTGGAGTCCTTCTCTCACGGAACACTGGTGGCATTTCTAATTTGGGCACATGTGTGGGCGAGGCATTCAACTTGGGGAAATTGATAGGTTGTGATCTAGTAGGTGACTTTCCCCCAGGAAGGGTGTGATGGCCTGCACCTTGATGTCCTGGTAGAGCTTGGGATGGCTGGGGGCCCAGGTGAAGTGTTGAAGGTTTATTAGGTGTTGGGGGTAGTCGTCGGCCACCACCTCTCCTCTGTGGTATCGTAGGATAGCTAGAACCTGCACGCCGGTGTGGGGAAGGACTACGAGACCGTCGGTCTAAGGAAGCTGTGCCATAATATTCTAAGGTGCGGCCACGGCGTCCTGCAGTGCCTGCAAGTCCTGTTAGCGGTGAGGGACTACGGGAACGAGCATCCAGCCTTGTGGTCATATAATGACGATCTGGACTGTTAGAGGCAGAGCGAATATCCCGCATACCCCATGGTCGTGGAGGGAAGGGCTCACGGCGCCGACTAGGACTGCGGCCTCGCAATGGAGATAACACCCCATAATCATCACCATGCACCTTTCCTGTAACATAAAAATTGGTCACATGCTGCCCAAGTAACAACAGTTTAGCTTTTTTATGGTCAGCTTATGAGCTTATATCACTCAATGCTTCAATATGCATAACTGAAGAATTATGTTCCATTGTATTCAATAAAGAGGATGGCCATTATTAAAGGTAATCAGTGATGAAAGCATATATTACACTACCTTGAACATGCTGTCAAAATACTATAATACAACATGAGACTTTGACATATGTAACATCTTGTTAAATATATCCATATACTTTTAATAATTAACACACCCAAGAAGTGGCATTCAGATTTTAGAGCAAGGCGGCAGAATACACAGATGTACACAATTGGTATGGTGAAGCATTTCTCATGAAATTAGCTCATTGTTATAGTTCACAGACATCACTAATAATAAAAATAGAGGTAATCTACAACTACAGGTCAGGACTTAACAAGGTACACAAAAACTGACAATAAACAGAGTATAGTATATCAACATCTGACACAATGTTCATCATAACTATAAAACTAACATAATGTCATCAAACAATACAGGTATCCTAATTCTGAAAATATACCTGTCTGTTTTGACTATTAAACTCTTATCATTTAGTAAAGCCTTTTATCATTTAATAATGCCATGTAGCATTTAATAAGGCCACTTATCAGTTAATAATACCACTTATCATTTAATTAAGCTTATTTAGTAAAGCCACTTATAATTTAGTAAAGCCACTTATCATTTAGTAAAGCCACTTCTCATTTAGTAAAGCCAGTTTTTCATTTAGTAAAGTCACTTATCATTTAGTAAAGCCATTTATTATTTAGTAAAGCCACTTATCATTTAGTAAAGCCACTTATCATTTAGTAAAGCCATTTATCATTTAGTAAAGCCACTTATCATTTAGTAAAGCCACTTATAATTTAGTAAAGCCATTTATCATTTAGTAAAGCACTTAAAATTTAGTAAGGCTAATTTAGAAATGACATTTATTATTTAGTTAAGTTTCTTTAGTAAAGTCACTTAGTACCACATCTTAACATTTTGTGAATCATTTTCATATTTAATAATGCTTGCATAATTTAGTAAGAGCCACTTATTATTTAGTAAAGCCTCTAACATTTACTTATATAATTATGAAAAGACGGTGCCAAGCCTAAAAGATTGTTTAGTACATCTGTGTTGCAGAGAAATAAACATTCCTAGATATCACTCAGGATACCAATACGAGAGCAGAAAGGCACAACACGAGTTATCTCAAAGAGTCAAGTTCACAAAAGGATTTTAAGGGATGAATGACTCAAATGAACATTGGGAAAGCAAGATTTCCGATCATCTTGAAAATCAGAACATTTTATGATCTACGAGGGGGGGGGTATGTGGCCATTACAAAACAATGTACAGGTGTTTGTTCCATCAAGTGGCCATAAAGTTAACTGTGTGTGACCAGTATGCATCCTAGCCAGAGACAGTTCTCACTTCCTGTTATGGTGACAGGAGGAAGGCCATGGGGTCACACTTAATTGTATGCAATTTCTTATTCATATTAGCTAACCATATACACTACATCTTTAATACCTGGGATTGGGTTAAATAACAGGGCAGAAATCAGATTAAGGAATTTCTGGAAAATGTTACAGGAATAAATAGCTTCTTTAGCAGCAGTATTCATGAGGTTATTTGGAGGCAACACCAATATGGCTGGGAACCCAGCAAAAAGCATTACATGCAGGAATATATTTGTAATGGAGTGTGAACAGATCTTTCAATAGGGATAGTGGTTAAGGAACAGCACAAATAAGAATTGGGACACTACTAATTAACTGCAGAAAGCATTGAAGGCAATACAGATTGTGGCAGTCTTGTAATTTAAACTACAGAAGCTTTATATTTGTAATAATTGATCAGGAATTTGGCTATCATTATTTATTTACATAAATGATATATGGAAGCATTACTTAACAATAAGATAAGGAAGGAATTATCATTTATGCACTACAAAAAAAAACTACAACTTACTTCACAAGTGGTTTATTTACACTCTCCTATCTCAACTATGATGCAAGCTTACTCACTACAAACTATCACAAAATGACACCTTGCCATATGTGTGCACTTTTGAAAGCAAATGTAAACAAGAATCTAAAAAAATTCTGACCTCACAAATATTTCTGCGGTGCAGCAAAACATGACCTAATGTTAAATGTAGAAAGTGTAGAGATAATGTATAAATTGACACACACTAAAGTTAAAGTGTGCATTTAAGCATGGTGATTACAAAATATAATGAATAGCAATAAAAAGCAAGCTATAAAGGTAATACAGTAGATTGAAGATGTCATGATACACACACACACAGCTCAAAAAACAACTGTTATTGTGAATACAGTAATCTTAAAAGCCTGTTATCATCTATGTACTGAGTGCCTTGTCCAAAATGACAAAGCAACTAAATTGTTTTACATGTCAATGCCAAAAACTTTGCAGGTAAATTTTTAGTTAATGGTGTGTAATTACCTAAGTGTAGTTACAGGGTGGGACACCACTATGCTCGTGGTGTCCTGTCTTTCCAGTACTATTATAAAATGTTTTAAACTATTGACGGTTTTGGCCTCCACCACCTTCTCATTTACCTTGTTCCAACCGTCTACAGTACCACTCTGTTTGCAAAAGTGAATTTTCGTATATTTCTTGGGCAGCTTTGTTTAGTTAGCTTAAACTTGTTATTAACTATTTACTTGTTCTTAAACTTCCAGTTACACTTCCTTAAAAATTATGTTGATTCACATTACTATTTTGTACACAGTGATCATATTGCCTCTTTTTCTTCTATCTTCGAATTTTGGCATGTTTAATACCTCTAATCTCTCTTCATAGCTCTTGTCTAACAGTTCCGGAAGCAATTTAGTTGCATGCCTTTGCACCTTTTCCAGTTTGTCGATGTGGTTCTTAAGATATGGGCACCATACAACTGCTGCAGGTTCCAACTTTGGACTTACAAAGGTCATGAACAATTTCTTTAGTATTTCACCATCTATGTATTTAAAAGCAATTCAGAAATTGGAAAGTGTAGCATAGCTCCTCACACAACTTATTCTATTCCTTGCTCCTCTCTACCCCTCTTGCTGCACTTGGGCTCAATGTATCTTAACTTTGTTTTTTTGTTAGCTTAATCCTCTGTCTTTTATTTTCTTTGTTCTTGTAGTGATGGGGCTGAACAGGCAGCATGCAGCTACATTGGGTTCATTTGCCCATTTGGTTTTGCAGCTTAGTATCTGAGTGGTTGTCCTGAACTTGGACCTTGTTTTTGGGGACTTAGTCTTAGAGCGGTGAGTATTCATTTCCCCCACCATCCGCTGTTTCCTCCAGGCTCCAGGATGTTTGTGAGTTTTGAAGCCTGGGCTGCTGTTTGCATGGGGTGTAGCTCAGCTTTGCTGATCAGCAAACTTTGCTAAATTGTATACTAATTGAAAACAAATTTACTGACAAAGAGATGTTAAAAGCATGTGTTTAGATGTTAGCTGATGCACAGTTGTTGGTTTATTTCATTATACTGTACTCTTTAGTGGATAACAATAACAGTTTTATCTCAAATTATATTTCTAAATTATCTAATGCAGCATTGTTTTGAGTTCAATGAAGAATTATCTTATTGTGATATGACACAAGGGAAGCATATATATTTTTATTTAAATAATTCTTTAAAATTTAATTTAAATCTATACGTTTCTTGAAACTATATCTACAATATATATTTTGTCATCTAATGTATCCCAAAAGAATGTATTAAAAATTACTGGTGGTATATTTATAAATTATTATGTAATGATTAACAATCAAGAAGGTGCAGTTATAATTCAAGCACAAGCATGTTTTTCTATCAGTTTAAACTCTTACATTGACAATTTCCATTTCAACAATCACACACACACACACACATACATATATATATACAGTGGTACCTCCATTTACTAATTTAATCCGTTCCCAGAGATGGGTCATAACTCAAAAATTCGTTACTTGAAAAACATTTTCCCATGAGAAAAAATGTAAATTAAAATAATCCATTCCACACTCCCCAAAATATTAACTTCAAACCAAATTTCATACATAATACACACACACATTTTAGTATGTACACACACACACATTATAGTATGTACAAGTTATAGCTTACCTTAATTGATGACTCTTGTTGGCATATGGAAGATGGTGAGGAGGGTGGGGAGAGGGGAAGGGGAGGTGGTGTTACTGTTTGGAAGGGGAGTCCCCTTCCATTATAACATCAGGCAGCGATGACTTCTCTGGGGTACTCTCTCTCCTATGTTTTGCAGGCATACCACTAGGACCTGGTTGTGGCTCACTGCTTGCTTGTCTTACAAAGAACCTTTCTAAAAATACTTGTTTTTCCCCACATTTTAACACTTGTCTGTAGTGAGACATCACATTGTCATTTAAAAGGTCAATGCAACGGCTTGCTACAGCCTTATTTAGGTAAGTTTTTTCAACAAAACTTTGCAGTTCTTCCCATACTTCATGCATTTTCTTAATGAGGAAGGGACATCCTCTACTGCCTCTACTCTCACCTATTTTCTTACGTTGAACCTTATCACTGACTTTCTTGGGACCCATGGTGTGATATATAATAATTACTTTTGCGTTCAAAAAACAAAAAGCACAAAAACAATGAAGTTCTTTACAAAGAATTCAAACGCAATCGTCGCTAAGTGGGTGACTGGTAAACTGAGGCGGGGTCACCCGTACCACCAGGAACTACGCGCTTAGTCAACCCGTACGTGTATCAACAAAGTCGCAAATCGAGGCAAAGGTTGTAAATCGAGTCAAGTTTTACAACGAAATTGGGGTTGTAGCTCGAAAAATTTGTAAGTAGGGGCATTTGTAAATTGAGGTTCCTCATTGTATATACAGTATATTATATATATATATATATATATACAGTACATATATAAGTTGTGAGGGTACCACCTGGTGGTACCTCCACACAGTGGTGGTACCACTACCACAACTGTGAATGATCTCTTGTTTTTCCTCTATCATCATCCTCACAACTATTTTCTTAGGTTGAACTTTACCACTGACTTTCTTGGGACCCATGGCATGATATATAATAAGAACTTTTATGGTAAAAAAACAAAAAAGCTGGCAAACAATGAAATTCTTCACAAAGAATTCATGCACGGCTGCGGTCGTCACTACGCGGGATAGACTTGTAAACAAACTGAGAGTGCTTCGCCCCGCATCCCCAGCACCATTCGCTTGTTCGACCCATATGCATATGAACAGACGTCGTCTTCCAAGTAAACCGTCATACACCATTTCAAATTTTACAGTGGATTTGACATAGTATACAAAAAAATTCATACTCTATGGCAGTCATCAGCTGAGGTTCCACTGTATATATATATATATATTTTTTTTTTTTTGATGCAACACAGATGAATGTTTAATGAATGACAGATGAACTAGTTGCATAGGAAGTTTGCATACCTTTACATGCAGACAGAGTCAGAAGAGTTAGTTAATTTTGCTATCTAGCTTAAACCTCCTACCGTACTTCTTATATAAGCATATACTGTACTGTTTCCGGACATAACCATAAATGCACCCCAGCAGATGATGGTAGGGGAAAATTAAGAACATATGAGAAGATGTTCCCATACTACTTGGGACATCTCACATCTTCCAAGGCATAGTTTCCTTGGATATCTGTGTATTATTAATGTCAGATGTTAATTTATTAACGAGAAAACACTTCATGCTGATACAAACTGTACAATACAATAAATAAATAAATAAATGTTTGTACATATTACTAAATTAAATACTTAAAGACACTGACCTTGCTTCTATCACAAATGGTGAAACGAACACATGGAGACATTAGGATTTGAAAGGATAAACAGGGAGTGAAATTTATAAAAAAAAAAACTACTTAGAGCTACAATTTTAATATACAGAAAATATTAATAGAAACTAACTCCCTTTTGTCCCTTTGTGAGAGGAGTGGTTCAAGAATCAGAAAATGCTAAATTTGCTAAAAAATATTGAAAGTTATAATAATGAATGAATCATTTATGCTGTATAGTAATATGTTTTAGAGGTATATGTGTAGATATTAAATAGATATATTGTATATCACTGAATATTCATTCCAATACAAAAAATTATGTATACTGTGTAAGGAAAATTGTATGAATAATCGTACCGTACATGTTTTGACTGCTAAACTCGGAATGGAAATCATGTAAATATAAATTATTGCTTTCGAGTGAATGTAATAGCTTTTATGTTCATAATATTATTATACCGTATAGTTCTAAATACAGTATATTGTTTGATTCTGCATTGTACTAGTCACCCAAGAGATGTTGCTACACTTCATTTCCAAGACATTCCATGGTGGCAACTACTACCACACATACAGTAGTTCACATACGTTCAGAGTCGGTCTATGAATGCTACAGAAAAAAGTCAAAGAAACTTTTCTGTACATTTTGTAGCACAGTACGAGCACGGTATAAAATACAACGCATTATTTTCAATAATAACTTATTAGTGTAATGTAAAGGAGCTTTCCAGTGCTTTGGAGTAGTCCAGCCTCACTGTGTCACACACCTCACAACTCCTGAGAGGAGGCCTAGTTATTGAGGATATACCTGGAGCATATCAGGGAAGTGTTTCGGGAGTTCTTCTACTCCCCAAGTTCGGCCTGGGGCTAGACTCGACATATGTGGGACACTATGTGGGACACTATGTGGGGCACTGGGTGAGGGGCCCACCTTCGGTGTGAGATGTTTACCTCAAATTCTCTTTCATTATCATCACTCCATCATCTGTACAGGAAGATACTAACAGAGCTGCATGACCAGGTTGGCAGCTTGAGCCACATATGCTGCCTATGGTTGCTGTCTTGATACTACTGGCCTGTAGCCAAAGCGATGTACTTAATTTTTGTGGGTCCCGTGTAGCGCATGGGAGTTTCAGATTTTTTGCAGTAACTAAAAAATCTCAAGATGTGATGCACAGCACTGATCAAACCTCTGAGGATGTGATGTGCATTGCAAGGTTAAAGTGTTCCCCTAACTATAATTTACATAAATATCTGTCCCCCACTACGCTTTGGTAATTACACTTATGTAACTACCAACTACAGGCATAGTGAACCTGATGTAAGACAGAAAAGAGGTGACATAATACTCAAAGAAAGAAGAGGTATAAAATTACCTTAAATCTGTATGTATGTGCTGTCAGTCCTGGAAACCACTACTCATGAAGAGACCTTAGAAAACCAGTCTGAATCCTCACAAAAACACTACAGATTGGGTTAATCCCTTCACTGAGTTCTGTCATGGAATGAAGCCCATGCCTAGACCAGTTTTGGCATGAGGAAGCTGTCAAACAGTGCAAGACATGTCTGTAATATTGGCCTACTTAAGGCAAAAGTAATAATATCAAAAAGTGTCCCTGCAATCTCCCACCCTTGGCTGTTTGTATGTATATTTGTGTGGATATGTGGGTATGTGTGCAAGTCTCAAGAACAACCTTATGACCTCTGAGGCTGAACAAGTGCCTCAAACAAGCATCCAGTTCGGGAAGGGGGATAAAGACTATTAACTGAATAATTTACAGCTGGAACTCATGTACCTCTGACATTTGAGACGATGTAAGTGCAAATGTGGAAAACCAGTAAGTAAATACTGGAACAATGCAGCAAGCAACACGGTGCTCTATTTGTTGTAGAGCCATGGTAGTGGTGACTATTTTGGAGAGGGAAACCAATCATAGGGCATCAGTCAGGCTTCATGAGGTAGCTAGAGGTAAGAAACCTTATTTTTGTGTTAGGTTGTGTTGCCTGGTGGCAGTCAGAGATTGTGGTCAGGGTTAGTGGCAGAGTAGGGCAACCATCATTTTTCAAATTTGGCGATTAACAGTCCTTTTGCTGTCAACTACAACTTGGGAAGGTTGTGGAGCTTCGGAATGTGTTTTCTAGTGATCTTTCTGGGCTGGATTGAGTATTCTTCAACTTCTGCCTAGAATCAGTATGACCTAGAAGGGACAATTTTAAATGATCCTTGATGTGCATTGCAGAGTTCCCTGATGTGTATTGCAGACTGTCAAATTGCTTTGACTAAGTACAGACATATCCTGGGGCCAGGAAGTTCTTTCCTTACGAGTAATCTGAGTGGAATAGCTCAGAATATAGTAGAGAAATACACTATTAAAATTTAGTATCAAAGGTCTTATGTTTTTCAGCATTTTCTGAATTCTTTAACACAAGTAAATTCTTTATTACATGACTAATACCTGCAAGGGTCATGCAATAATGCCATTTGTCATTACAAGAACAAATCCTCTTTTGAGAACATTAAACAGCTACAAATAGTGTACATTATTACTTTTCATAGTTATGAAGATTTTCAAATAGTACTCATTATTACTATATTTTACATCTATGCAAGATACGTTAATGGGTTCATATTTCTTACCACACAACTCTACAAGACTCTACAAATAAAATCGGCTTCATAAAATGAATCTTATTATAATGACAAATTGAATCATCTCTAACTGAGTTCAGTAGTGAATATAAAGAGTATTTCATTTGCAATCAACACTCAACTTTATGTTGCATAAGTTTAAGTTAATCAAAAGGCCAGTCTTCAACTAATGCACATTGAAGTACAATAGGGAAGGGCAGTGATGGTTCATATGACTGGAATGTTTGGATAATGGATTTCCTAAACAAAAAATGAGTTCTGCAACACCCAGACTGAACCCTTGTGATAAATTCCCTATGTGTATTGTTATGTCATATCCTACAATTTTTTATGAAGCATCTGAACCATCCTCACTCTTCCCTTCAGGGAAAAACAGATAACAAGGTTATCTGCTCGAAATGTTATTTATATTATTGCACTGAATACCACATTCTTTTAATCGGGAATATCTTGCATCAATATTTAAGGCACGAACAAAACTTTATTTACTTTTAATGTAAATTATCTTGAATATGGATGTAAATAATCATATTTAAATCGCAGAATAAAGACGTGCAGTACTGTTAATATAATTACCCATTAAAAAGTCCTTACTGTATGTCTTTGATCAGATATTTAGTATTAAATTGATGGAAAATGAATTTTCTAAAGATGATATAAGAAAATTCTTCACTACCTACTCACTGAGAGGCATGACCCTGCAGTTTACATACCTCATGTGCACTATGACGACGACCCTGGCCTGCAGACTCAATTACCTACCTCGTAGCCTACCTCTCTTGTGGATGTTATCATATTTGACGAGGTCCACCACATCACTAACGGCATCACTGAAGCCAATATCATGTGGTTGCTGGACAGGTCTTCTTGGTGAGGGACTCCGCCTAATTAGTGTTGGAGAACGCATATGTCTGAGGTATGCACGATTAACTTCATAATAGCATCACGGGGTTAATTAATAGGGAAATCCTTATCAGATGACCAACTCAATTTGATCATTATACATAGACAAAAGAGCAAAGATTCCTTCTTCTAATATTTAGGAAATTTAGTATTCAGCAGTCTCTTTTAAACTAAAATTCTGCCCATTGTTGCTATAACATGAAATACTGCATATAATAACAAGAAGCTTTGGAAGCATTTACTTTCTGTAAACACCCGACATTATTTATATACTACACATTAATGTAACCTCCATTGTATATTTGCATCATCATCATTATGTATATGGTGTACTGAACCCATCTATCTGTAATCATTAATTATTTGATTTTCCATTACCTGTACCTAGGAACATTGAAAAGATATATTATATATTATTTGGAAATAAATACACCAATTGCATCTAAAAATAAACAATACCCAAAATGAGAGTGAAATAACGAAAATTTCTTAGCATACAGATAGACAACAAACTAAACTTCAACTGCCATATAAAAACCCACCGTTGAATGTTACAAAACGTCTCTCTCTGTAGGAGCCTCGGTGGCTCCATGAAACTGTCTTCCTGAGGTTGCTGCATGCTAAAAGGTCACATTAGCTGTGTTTTCCTTGGCCTATTGGGGTCCAGAGCCAGAACCTGGCACCCTCCCCTCACAGAGGGCCAGGAAGTTGGTGACAATCCACCACCCCACTGGAAACTGCCTTCAGAAAGTCAGCAAAGCCTTTCTGATAACTGGAGGATTTTTGGAAAACGAAGCACCTATCTGTTGCCCAACTGGAACTTTAAGCCTTTGCTGGAGTGCCACTTTGGCATGAAGGTGTTAGATGAACCACATCCTAATCATGTAAATTGCTAACCACCATATTGTGGATAATAACATTTCATTGACCTGGACAATTGGAGCCTCGAACCATCGACCACATAAACTGTAGCCTGTAGTTCTACCTACTTAGTCACCAACACCCCTAAAGTGGCATTCCAGGGAAGGCTTAAGTTCCAGTTGGGCAGCAGATGTGCTTCTGGAATCCTTCCTCTAGGGGTGTTGGTGGCTCAGTAGGAAGAGCTGCAGGCTATGATTTATTTATATATATAAATAAACCTGTGTAGGTTTATATATATATATATATATACAAAATTTTCTACTGAAATGTAAACCCATACTTGAAATTCTTCCTAGAAGATTGTAGATTGTGACAACCTATGGGCGTCTTACTACATATACGTGTTTGACACAAAACCTGTGAATTAATTTCTTGCTATCAACACTGTTAATTCTATTATAATATTTATTCACTAGTGTTAAGTTCTGCACTAGATTAACACTTTTGCTGCAATATCCAATAGCAGCAATGCATTCTTTGAAAATATTTTCAAATCATGTAATTTTTTTTAAGTCGTCTGACCTTCAGAACAGGCTTCTGAACCCAGAAAATGCTACCAGTGGTTAGCAGCCAAATTAAAATAAAGCAATAAATAAACACCTGTTTTACAAACATTGCAATACCTGTGAGGAGGTGTAGGTGACTGGAAGCCCCTGACTGGTGAAGGTGACCGTGATCTATACCTATTAACTGGGTATTCTTCTGGTCGCAGGTGACGGCCACCATCATCAGAAGCTAAGGACCCTCTTCTCGATGCCTGTTGTACCACTTCTGCCAGCTCCAGCCCCGCCTTCAGAATGAATCCATGTCATAAATTTATACAACATTCCTATCCTTGTGAATCACGAACACAGATTGTCCACTTGGAAAAGCAAGTTGAGTGTTAGGTCACTTCATTTATTTTTACAATACAATACAGCAAATTTTTGAAAATATTAGAGAGACCTATATATATTTTGTTACTGAAATGCATAAAAGTAACCTTCAGATTTGTTTTTATTTACAATAATATTTGTCAAGTGATAACTGTAATATGAAAAAGTATGGGTAATGGAGTTTTTACAATACAGCTTGTGAATCCAAGTGATAATCCTGAGTAAGTAATAATGTGCAAGGGGGAAACATAAAATACTATGTAAACCATTTACAGTGTAGTATAGTCATGCTTAATAGTCGGAACTGCTCTACACGACCTAGCTAGTAAGAAGGGACAGCCAGAGCAATTTTGCATATTTTCAAATATTTATTTTAAAATTAGTTTAAGCCTAAATAATATCTGTATTAATTTGTTGAATTAACAACATGAATTTCTAACTTAGTTATGCCTAATTTAATGTATTAGGTAATATTGAGAAATAATTGTCCAATTTTGGATAGATCAGGTTTTTAAGGCTAGTTTTGCCAAGAATTTTTAATATCATATTACTGTATATATGATAATTAAAAACTCATACATATGAGAAAATTTATGAAATATTTAACATTTAGGGTAGTTAAAACTACTGTACTGTGCAACTCTGGTTATAAATAAATAAACACACAAAATAGGTGTTGGAACAAGTGACTGATAATTGAGTGAAGGCCAAAACTCTCAGTAGTTTCAAAGCGTCATATGACAAAGAGTACTGAGAAGACGGGACGTCACGAGTACAGCTCTCATCCTGTAACTACATTTGGTTATTACCCTTATGTAATTAGAGTACAATATAGTAACAGGAAATAAAAAATAGACAAAGGAATTTTTTAAACTCACAACTTCAAGAACTGGAGGCCACAGATTTAAGCTAAGGAAACAAAGGTGCAGAGAAATATAAAAACATTCTCTTTGAAACAGAGTGTTAGATGACTGGAACAAGTGAGAAGGCAGTGGAGGCCAAAACCATCAGCAATTTCAAAGAATACCAGGAAGATGAGACACGACGAAAGTAGCTTTCATCCTGTAGCTACACTTAGGTAATTACAAACATCCCATACTCTTTAGGCAGTTATGAAATACTGTTACTGTATCCATAACAGTACTTTTTATCACATTTATAATTTGTGGATTGATATATTTTTAATTTATGAACAATACTTTTTTTAAGAAAACAAATAAAAAACTAACATAGCAACCTGACATATCCTAAATAGCCTGACTATTCATCAGTACTGCTTAAATTGCATAAATGTAGGCCATAACAAGTTAGTAACTCATGTAATCAATAATTGTGGTTATATTATTAAGGCCAAACTAATCTCAAAATAGATATATAGATACATGTATTTGTAAATACAGTAGACAAAATTGGTCTGTCTGGATGTTACTCAAAATGGTCCTTCTATACTAGGCATAGTAGTGTGGTTCTGGGTATTAGGTATGAAAATAAATAACTAAAGTAAATAATATATATATATATATATATATATATATATATATATATATATATATATATATATATATATATATATATATATATATATATATACATATATATATATATATATATATATATATATTAATTAGGTGCACTGTGTGTGCATGTGTTTGTGTGTGAATTGTAATTATCTATGTAAAAATGCATTTAAAAAATCATTGCAAAGAGTAATGATTTTTAATCAAATCTGAAAAATCTGAAAGCTAGATAACAGAAAACATGAATAAAACTACATACATGTAGTGAGTTTGACACAATAGAAATCACAGCATAATTATATTATAATGGTGCCCTTTTAACTTTCTCAAGTCCGTTATTATTTCAAACTAAAATGGTTAAAATAACGTTTCTTATCAAACACCAAGTTCTGATGTTTGACATTAATTACGATAAATAACCAGACTAGAATATCATATGTGAGCTGAACTACCAACCAATTGGTGCACACCTGACTGCCCAAATTTATTACAAAGTCATTTTCACAATAAATGTCACTAGGGATAGTAAAAGACCACATATATTCTCTTGCCTATTACAGAGCATCCAGAAAGCTTAAAATTTAGTTTCTTTTAACGGGTTCTTGAGGAAGCTAAAAATTTATTGAAGAAATGCAGCAGGTGAGTGTTGAAATACAAGCAAATAAAATACAGCAATACCCTCAGATAAACTGTGGGTTATATGTTTAACAACTTCAATACCATTCTGATTAATGCTGCATTATATCAAATACAAAATTTATTGTAAGTTTGAGCAGTAGTGTGGCACATTTTGAATGCTGCACCATCAGATGATAAAGAAAACATTAATGCTAAGCATAAATGTGGATATTATATACATATTTTAAACACTGTTTGGCACTGAGAAAGATGTCCATGAAAACATTATATACATACATATTATATATATATATATATATATATATATATATATATATATATATATATATATATATATATATATATATATATATATATATATATATATATATATATATATATATATATAAATATATATATGGGATATGGGGACATTGAGGTAGCTTATTTGCATATGAGAAGGTAAAAATCATACTATTTTAATCTGTTGTTGGCTGCAAAGGCTGAAAGGACAAGAAAGATTGAAATTAAAAAGGAAAGGAAAAACATGAACTTAACATGAAGGATAATAGACATAACACATTTACAGAAATGGTCAAAATCTGGTAATAAGTGATCAGATAATTAACATCACAAAGTGACACAGTCAACAGGTGAAATTACAAAATGAAATGAAACAAATAACATGGATGAAAATGAGAAATGCAGTTGATTTTGTGCAAGTTATACAACAGATGAGTGAACAAAGAGATGGAATAGACACAATATGAGGTTCATGTGAAGAGCTGACAGACCTTGGGTTACAAACATGTCACACAGAGTACACGAACACATGATAGGAGAGGCCGTCACACTCTCTTACATCAAGCATTCAAAGTAGGTCTATATCATAAACTGGATACAATCTCCATGTCCTTCAATATGAGTTACTTTGCTCCCAGAAAACAAAATAAATATATCAATAAGCATTGTAAAAGCAAGCAGGCAACACATTACCTACAATATTCAATAAATGCAAACAGAGGAGTAGAGATTTGTGAATCAAATAAAGCTAAATAAAAATAAATCGCATGAAAATAATTAATCAACAATTACTGGTAACAAGGAGTAGAAATATCATAATATATTTGTTATTATATGTCTAAATTTTAAATATTTTGCATTAAGTTATAATATATAAAAACTTCACAATGGTCATCTTTGAACTAACGCATTTTGCATACTTTGATCAGAGTTTTCACGAGTGATATATATATATATATATAAACGTTGCTACAAGTAATTGTTGCAGAAAAGATTAAAAAAGAAGTTAAAGATAGTTTCTGTGTAAATATAGAACAGGAGAACGTAAACAATTATAGCAGCTGAAAAGTACAATTCAGTTGGTATTATTACATGCAGCAATGATGCTTTTGAGTGCTTCATAAGCAGTAATTGTAATAGTGGTACTGTACTGTAGCAGTGGCTGTATCACTATACAGTACAGTATAATGATGCCGGAAGCAAATACAGCACAGAGAGAATTACAGTATAATCATCATCAACACAAGCAGGAACAATAAATATTTATAATAGCTGCAGTATTGATAGGGAAAATGCAGTATTATATCTAATACCTGATGGATAATACAAGCTGTGATCAAAGTTAAAAGTAATAATTCCACCAAGAGAAAATCGGTAGAGGAGGCTGAGGCTATATTAAATGAGGTTGCATAAACAAAAGATGAATTAGAAGTAGAAGTAGTAGTAGTAGTAGTAGTGGTAATAGTAGTAGTAATAGTAGTAGCAATAGTAGTAGCAGTAATAGTAGTAGTAATACTAGTAGTACCAGTAGTAGTAATAATAGTAGTAATAGTAGTAGTAATAGCAATAGTTGTAGTAGTAGTAGTATAAGGTAGAATTAGTAGTAGTAATAGAACTGTTGCAAAGGAATACAGTACTGGTACCTGGATTCCTCATTTTCCCTTCCCTAAGAACTCAGCATTCTTAAGGAGTTAAAGTTTTGAAAGATTACCTGAAAAGCTGCTGGAGAGTTGAACATGCTTCTCTGGCTACTTCACAAGTGAAGCACGTGCCATGTGTTTACAATGCAAAATATTGATGGAAATGTAGAAAATTACCACATTTAACAGAAACAAGTGTCAGAGTAAATGTAGAAAATGACGACATTTAACAGAAACAAGTGTCAGAGTAAATGTAGAAAATGACTACATTTAACAGAAACAAGTGCCAGAGTAAATGAAAAAACTAGAAAAGACTTAAAATGTGAATAGAACAGTTATAAAGAGGAGGACAATGTAGAGAGTGAAACAGGATATCAAAATCATAGATTTTAAATGTCTATCAAAGCTAATTGATCTTCTTTTTTAGAGCAAAATAGATTATTGTACCTAAAGAGCAGTAGTGGAAGAAATTCTAATCCACAGTTATATTTGAATAGTATTAGTTGTGAATGCATTTGTAGTTGTGTTTGTGATTAAGGTTGCTTTTAATTAACCCATTTTCTGTAATAATCTATGGTATTTACCAGTCGTAATAACTAGTTGACAGTTTTGATGCATGAGTTGCCTCTGAAAAATTGAGCTAACATATCAAGCTGAGAGTTGAACTTGGGTATGAATGACCACTGACATGGAGAACGTTTTTACTGGTTATAAAAACAAAAATTTGCCATAATTTACTTGCTGGTGAGTTATGGTTAAAAGTAGTCCTGTGGGGAAACCTATCCTCAGAACAATGTAACGACTGGAATTTTATTTTCATTAATTTTATTAAGAAAA